TTGTATACAGTTCAATTTTGATTTCTTCTAGGAAATTATTGATAAACTTTTAATTTCCAATATGCATTGTCATAACTATAATATAAAAACTGTTATCTTCTGACACAATTTATATGCAAACAAAAAGAATACGCAACTAACTTAGCCTCATATATAGTTGACGTAAGAACACATATTCTTTTATATATTTTTTACTTTATTAGAATATTCATTAAAGAATATCACAGACAATATAAATCTATTCTATAAATATCCTTCAGTGAATATTTTAATTAAGTGAAAAAAAGTAGTTTATAAATCTGCATAGAAAATCAAAAATGAAATTATGTTCTAAATATTCTGAATAAATTTAGAGAATATTCTAAATAAGATTTCTAGATTAGATTAACAAAAAGAAATGTTCTTTTACATGTATGTTGTAAATTGTACTGTAATATTTCAGTCACACTAATATAAATAATTAACTTTAAAATAATTTTTTACAAGAAATGAAAATAAATTATACAAAGTACATTTCTTGTATACAATTCAATTTTGATTTCTTCTAGGAAATTATTGATAAACTTTTAATTTCTAATATGCATTGTCATAACTATAATATAGAAACTTTCATCTCCTGACACAATTTATATGCGAACAAAAAGTGCACGCAACCAACTTATCCTCATATATATTGAGAGCACATATTCTAGATAAGAACACATTCTTTTATATATATATATATGTATACTACACGATGTGGTAAAAGATAACGATTTCGTTGTATTAATGAGAGCTTGCTATTTCCAGTTTGACTGCATCGAAAGAATAAATAAGATTAAGTGTATTAATTATTAAATACACATTTAAGTGTTGATACGCGTTAAGTGCACAAGTATTAATACGCGATTAAGAACACGTTTAAGTGTTACGCAACTGAATATAAGAACACGATTAAAATTTATTTTCAACAGAACTTTGTTGAGGTAAGTTTACCATAATACCACAATATAATAAATTATAAGTTTATAATGTAATAAATTGTTATATTAAATTAATAGACACACACCACATATACATATACTTATTCACATTACTATTATTATGCAGATTATTATGAATGCTTTCTAACAATATATACAATGCTCCGATTTTATAACTTTTATTAACGACGATAACATTATTATTAATATTATTGTATACATATTTTGATGTTAAAATATGTATATAATACATGATAATGATAGTGATATTATCGTTAAAAATTATAAAATCGTAGTATAAGTAAAACCATAAAATATAGTATATATATATATATATATATATATATATATATATATATATTTCAGTTTTGTAATTTTAAAAGATATAAATATGTAATATACAAATTTATATTTATATATTTGTATATTTATTAATCTTAATTTGAAAACGATTCATTTTCAAGTGAATAAATACTTTACAATATATTTAATACTTTTACAATATATTTGCTAATTGATTTTAATTTTATCAGAAGTTTTTAATTTTATCAGATATTATTTTTTCTATAAGTTTCGATGAATAAAACATTGTTTACATTATAATATGTATAACATTTTTATGAAAAATTTATTAAAATTTGTAAAAAATGTAATAATATTTAAAGAAAATTAAAATAATTCTTATTTGAAAGCTTAATAATATCATAAAACTTATATATAACTTATATATTACTTAATTTATATTAATTGTATTATTGTGTAAATGTAAAAGTATTATCATAACACTTTTTACAATTCAATTTATTAAGAAGAAATAGATCGAAATATTTAAATTTCTAGTCTTGAATTGAGAAGAAAAATAAATCAAAATGTTTGCATTTTTAATCTTAAGTTAAAAAAAATAAATCAAAAATTGTCTACATTTCTATTTCTATATAAACAATTAAAATTATGTTTGTATATTGAATATTATGAAAGGCTACAATGGTTCTTTGTATTAATTTTTCTAATTATACGTTTTAAATACTTTTGTGTCATTCAAATAATTTGCAATTTTATTTTAAGAAGAGAATCTATAATAATTTTGCATATAATTTACATTATGATTTACAAAAAAAAACATTGACATTTAAAACATGACAAATTATTGATATAGAAGAATGAATAGAATATGTAAATTGTATTTTTTATATTTTCATCCCGTAATCAGGAAATAATATTTTTTAAAACATTTTTAAAAATTTTTATAAAATATTTTTGAAACACTATTTTAAAGCATTAAAATTATAAATCTTTTTTAATTCATTAAAAAAAAATAATTATTTTAATATTTTCTTTAAATTATTATTTCAAACAACAGATTCATGTAAAATAATTAATGAAATATATATATATATATATATATCTCATCTTTGTATATTTTGTAGGATAATTATTAATTTTGCATCTTTACAATATTAAATCTAAAAATGTCACAATATAATTTGGATGATTCGGAAGATCATAACTCAAATCATATATTTCAAAACTCTGAGAATCATATTGATAAACTTATTGAAATTGACAATTTAAATGCAATGAAACTATTAACACCAAGTGATGTACTTGAAAGTATACAAATGTATGATTCAACAGTGTAAGTAAAAAGTTTATGAAAATTGAAGAAAAAAAAAAGGAATAACAATTATAAATAAAATAGAATAAACAATTATTTTAATTAATTTTCATTATTCTTTTATATTTTTTGTATTATTTGCATTTTTTGCATTATTTTTTGTATTATTTATTGTTTTTAAAATTTTAATAATTAATCTTAATATTAATTTAAAAAATATATATATATATATATATATATATACATACACACACACACACATATCCAATGTAACATAAATAATGCAAAAAATACAAAAGAATAATGAAAATTAATTAAAATAATTGTTTATTCTGTTCGGTTTATACATATATATACACACACACACATACACATAACACATGTACTCACAAAGTAAATTATAAATTACGAAGAAACCTGTTGATTTTATTAAAATTTGATTTTATAAAAACTTTTATTAGTATAAAGAATATGCAATAAAAGTAAGGAATTTAATTTAAAAAATTCAAAGTAAGTTTCCCTTGATTTTGAAGACTTAAAATTAAACTAATAAAATCAATAAATAGATCTCTTTTTTAAACTCTAATTTTTATCTGAAATATTTTTTATAAATTTATAAAACAATTTTACATTATTTTGATCTGTAGAATATATAAAAGATGTTTGACAATAAGTAAGACAAAATTTAAGGAATGATTCTACATGATAAAATAAAACAAAAATCAAAAGTAACAAAATTTCTGTAGAGACTTCATTTTTTAATTATAAATATTTAAAAGTTTGTTTAAAAAGTATCCAGAATTTAGCAATTCACTGTACACTTTTGCGTTACATAATATTTTAAGAGCGATATAGCTTATGCTCGCTAAAAATTTTGTAGATTACCATGTTTCAGACACCTTTCACACAAATTTTCAAATACTTATAATTAAAAAAAACGAAGCTTTCATTGAATTTTTGTTATTCTTGATTTTCGTCTTATTTTATCAAGTACAATAGAATCATTTCTTAAACTTTATCCCGCCTGTTGTCGAACATCTTGTATATATATATATATATATATATATATATATATATATATATATATATATATATGAATATGTGTAAAGTGTGCGCGCCTTCTAATTTATTATTAATTATATTAATTATATTAATTAAATTATATTATTAATTATATTAATTAAATTATATTAGTGAAATTATTGGCTATGTTGATAACATCGAATCTCCACGTTGCGTGGGCTCGCAACAACAATATAAGTTCTTCAAATTTTATTTAAATAACGGAAAAGGAAAAAGGGTTCAAATTGTTGCCTGGAATGATGACATTGATTTTGTGGAACATCATATAAAAGTAAACACTGTAAGTATTATTATTATTTTTAATTTTTAATTTTTATTTATTTATTAATGTTTCCGTGAAATATTTTTTGTTTTTCATGTTCTATAAATATATTCTTTATAAATATAAATAAATAAATAATTATAAATATAAATATAAAATAAATAAATAATTATAATTATAAATATAAATAAATAAATAATTAATATATATATATATATATATATATATATAACATTTTCATTTTAGATACTTATTATAAATAAATAAATAAATATATATATATATATATATATATATGTATATATATATATATACATATATATATATATATTTATTTATTTATTTATAATAAGTATCTAAAATGAAAATGTTTACTAAAAAATTCTTATAAATTATTAGAAGAGGAAAAAAATATATATACATATACACTGTATACACATATAATATGCAATTTACGATAAAATGTAAACTTTATAAATTTTTATAAGTATTAATGAATCTTCATATGTGCGTATTCTTTGTGTCAAAAAAAATGTAAAAAAGATAGTCTAGAAGATCATGTATATACGTCGTTATATTTAATCTACTGTCTAAAGAAATATTTAAATCATCATTATTTGATTTTGAATCAAGTCGTTCTATCTTACAATTAATTTAATATATACACACAGTGATATTGCTTTTATCGCTAACAGTATTTTTGTTATTTTATAGACACAATTGGTGTAATATAAAATAAATATTAGAAATAAGAATCAAATATTAAACATTAGGAAAAGAGAGAAAAATAGAAAGATCTATATTTTTTTCTTTTCTTGATATTTAATATTTAACTTTTATTCTCAATACATTGTTTTTATTATACATTACATATTATTATACATTTTTTATTACATTTTTATTATACATTACATATTATTATTTCACGTTTTTATTATACATTACGTATATTACATATTATTATACATCACATTAGATTTTAATAATAGTTAATATTTGCTTATAAATCATTCTGTGTTAAACAAATTACTTACAAATAAAAATTCTTTTTAAGTTGTGAATTTATATACAAATGAAATATATATATTATATATATTATATATATTACGTTAGAGATATATACAAATACGTTACAGATATATATAAATAAACATATCTATTCTTTATCGTAAATAGCATTTGTACATGTATATTTCACACAACACACACACACACACACGCGCGCGCGCGCGCGCGCGCGCGCGCGCGCGTGTGTGTGTGTTGGTGTGTGTGTGTAATATATAATTCATTACATATTTCACATAATATGTATATAATATGTAATTTTTCATTGATAATTTTTGACCCAAAAATCCTATTTTATAATATATATAATACAAAGAATATATTATATAACATAATCTATAATATTAATAATATTATAATACAAAGAATATATTATATAACATAATCTATAACATAACAATATATTATAAAAATTATTATATTAATAATAATATGCATAATAATTACAATAAAATTACATATGTAGTGTTATACTTTTAAACAAATATAATGTGTGTATTTTATCTATCATTCTTTTCATAATCTTTTAATTTCGATATTTATATTAATATAATTATACACATTATTATATTATTTTATTAAATATTATTATTTTATTAAAATATAAAATATTTAATTTATAACTTGTAATTCTTTAAAAATTTATGTAAAATATATGTATAATTATATTTTTAATATTAAAATACATTTCATAAAATAGATTATTCATTTGGATGGTACTCAGGCACGTCCGCCAAAAATACCTCAATTCAACAATGGTAATATGCCGTATGAGCTATTAATAAAATCAAATACAATAATTTCAAATCTTGGAAAATTTGAACCAATGGAAATAGTAGATACCACACCTAAGACAATTGAATTATCTGATGTATTAAATGCTACAAAAAATCGCATTAGTGAATATTCTTTATATAATTTCTTTTTTTTATTAATATAATATTATAATATAAATATAAAAATATATAAATATTTTTCATATAATTTTTTAATCCATATACCTTTTTTAATTAATACGTTATTAGAATTTGAAATAAATATAGTATAATAAATAAATATTTTTTTTATATCAATCGTTTACATATCAAACATTCAAATTTTAAATTGTTTAAAATTATTTTTTAAACTAATTATTCTACTTATTCTTCCATAAACTTCAATTATTTGGTTGTTTTTAAATTTTGAATAATTGAAATCTATTTAAAAAATATAGTTTTAAAAAATTAAATAAATGAAAATGATTGATATTTAGATGATATCAGAAAAAAATTTATTCGTTATAAATGATTCAGATATTAAGTGATCCATGCAAATTTGATTTTAAATTATTAAAAGATTTAAAACATAGATAATATGTTCTATTATTATTTAAGACAATTATGCGAAACATTTGTTAAAATTTTAAAAGAAACGCTCTATAAATGACAACGGTTATATAGTAATAATGGACTGTCTTTTCTCATCACGAATTAATACTTACGTAAATTGGTGAATTTTTCTTAATTAATTTCTCATTAATTGTTGTAAGAATCATAAAATGATAAAAAATTCTTCTTTTTTCTGTTTAACTTCTTCTATACATATACAAGAGAGATAATGTAGTTATTATTGGATACACTGCACATACACATACATATTCATACTTACACACACAATAAAGTTATTTATATTAAAATACTATGAAATAAACTATAATTATGATTATTATAATTATAAAAATTAAATTACAATGTTTTTAATATAAAGATGACTATTATAATTAAGAAATGAGTTATTTTTCAGGACTTATATTTATATAGCTTTTTATCTTTTTTTCCGGTCCCGAATCACTTCTCGAAGTATTGCGGGCAGTTTTTCGGACACTCTATATATAATATAGGCGTATATATATATAAAATCAAAAATTTTATTAAAAAATAATAACAGGATTATTGATAATATAATATAAAATATTATTTATATCTTTTAGAATTTTCTTATATTTATTTAAAATAGAACAATATATTTTATATATAACCCAGACAGCACACAGATATTCATAAAATATTCTACAAATATCCTTGAAGGATATTGAAAATATCCATAAAATGTCCGTTTTATGTTCCTCAAATATACAGTGGATATCCTTAGCATATCCGAATATGAAATTGGAGGACATAATTTAAACCCTGATGTGTCCAAAAGACATCCGATGGACGATTATTGGACATAAATTAGCAATAACAAATATACAAAACGGATTTTATATGGACATAATAAGGAGATGAAAAAGGGATTACATACAAAATTTGAATTTACACATTAAAAAGATAAAATATATATTTTTTTAAGCAATACATTTATTAAAGAAAATTTATATCACATATACATTAATGCAATATCACATATTATTTAAATGTTACTTTTTTTGTACAAAACTATTATAAAACAGATAATTAAAAAAAAAATGTATATTATATGTGTGAAAAAAGAACAATCTTTATGATCTAAACATATAATTTTTAAACGAAACATATATATTTCAATCCCTAAATAATAATATAATTTATTTTATATAAAATTTTACATAAAAATTTTATATAAAAAATTTATTTATAATTTATACTTGCATATTGCACTTTACATCTTAAATAAATAATGAACAATTATTTTCGTTTATTTGCCGGACATTTACTTGTCCGACTTATAAAATCAATTTAATATCCGAAACCCGTGCTTTTAGGTCAGAAATTAAATTGAACAATACATTTTTAATTTTATTTGTTACCTTTTGCAAACTTTATATAATTCTCATAACTAAAACTTAAATACGAGAAAGATAGTGCATCACACGTCACGTAGCGGTAAACGAACGAACTAATACATGCTTGCGTGCTCGCGAGAAACTTTGACCTCCAAGACCGGACATCTTGTGGACGTCCAAATATTGACTACTAACAGATGTCTTAAATCGGATGTACAATGGACGTTTATTTTATGTCCATGGACGTGCAGACGTAAAATGGACATAAAATGAATGTCCGTAGAATGTCCTGTGCTGTCTGGGAATTATTATTATTTTTGTTAATATATATTCGTCAAATATTTCTAGTATTGAGAGGATACGTAAAGACGAATTTTGCTGAAGTATATAACAACAACATGAACAAAATTATTGGATGTGGTGCAATAACTGATGGCACATTCAAACTGGAAATTCATGTAATAAATTTTAGTAACGATGATTATACTTTACTTGATATTAGAAAAGGTGATCATGTAGAAATTATTGGTATCATGCAAACTACAGGTAATAAACTAAACTATTTAATTTTTACTTATTTTATTCTTATAATTGTTTAAATACTATTAAAATTAATTTATATAAAGAATAAAAGCCATTTTAAGATCTTTAATTTAAAAAAATGAAATTTTTAATTTTCAAACCTTTAAAATATAAATTTTTACTTATAAAAGTTATAAATTTTCACTTATAAAAAATAAATATAATACGTAATTAACTATTCAAAATTTTTAATTTTTAAAAATCGAAAAAAAAATCAAAAAAATCTCAAAAGTTACCAGGAAGCCTCTTTTGAGGGGTACTAAAAAATACCTAAAAATTAAGAAAATCAAAAACAAAAATTTTTTAAACCGTCCGATTTGGCGTGGAATGCCCCATATATATATATATATATTATATATATATATATATATATATACAATATATATATATAATATTACAAAATTGTAATTACTTATTAAAATATTTTCATTTAAATAATTTATTAAAAATATTTTCATATATATATATATATATATATATATTTATATTTATGTATATATTTATATTTATATATTTATTTATATTGTTTATATTTATTTATTAATATTTTTATAATTTTTAATTATTCCATCATATTTAGTTGTCAACAATACAGAAAATATAAAAAAAATCGCAGGGCACATGCCACTCTTAACTTTAATAAATGGAACTAAAAATTTGAAAAGAAAAATAGATGATGTACTTCAGTATAATTAATACTAATCAGGTATAATTATATAATTAATATTAAAACTATTAGTTTTTAATAAAACTTTTTGAAGAGAGTAGTAAAACTCTTAAGTTTCACTCTAATTTTTTACTTTACAATTAATAATATCATCATTTGATACTAATATATATTATATAATCATATAATTATATTAATATAGTACACATACACACACATACATAGACAGGGTGTCCAAAACTCATAATCAATCTTTCAAAGACAGATTCCTGGATCATTTGAGACGATTTGTCTCACGAAAATGTCGAGCACTAATAATTTTCGAATTATAAGAATACTTAGAAATAAGGGTTTTTTCGTAAACTAAGCTTTGATAGAAATAAATATTAATTAACCACATTCTCGATTAATTTTAAATAGAGTTTACTTCAATTGAGTTTAATTTAGAAAACTTAATTGTAAAGATATATGATGACAAAAAGTGAAACATGCAAAAAATAATGGCTTCATATCGACATTTTCATTGAGGAAAATGGAAGAAATCGTCCCTCCAAATCTCAGGAATCTGTCCTTTGAAAGATTGATTTACGAAGTTTTGGGACACTCTGTGTTATATACATATATATAATATATATATATATATATATAATATATATGTATAATTAATTTATATATTTTTTTCAACAGGATCAGAATAAGAGAAATTCAACTTCCACGTCCAACTCATAATTATTGTTTTATTTTAACTTGTTTTATATTAACTTTTCGTATATATTATAAATGAATATATTATTAAATAACTTTCTTTTATATATTATAATAAGTATTATATATTATATAAGGACCACAATCATATGGTCAAATTATATTTCATATTAATAAACTATATTTCTGGCTAGTTGGTCGATACGACAATTTTCNATGCTTGTCGTCGTAACGGACTCAGAGCAATTTTCGTCTCGTGAATCGTGTATACTTGGTGTAATTTAGATCGTATACACGACTGCTGACGCGTCATTTCAATCTCTTCATTCAAGCACCGCGTGTAATCGTCAAACGTTATCGTTCTCGCGACAACGCTGCTTTTGACACCTTTGACTTTCTTCGTATCCTTTTTCCCATTCACTCGTAACGCGTACATCTTTGCTCTGAGCCCGACGAAATCGGTCATTATGGCACCGTTATTTTCGTCCTTCATCAGACCCGGCACCTTTTTATTTAAAAGCGGTATACCGTATGCATTGTCCACCGCATAATCGCTCGTATCGAATCTAACAATGTCACGCTTCATATTCTCATACACATTCGCACACTCGATGTGATATATGAGACTGTCCGTATCGGTATACATTACCCGACATTTGTCGCGATACATTGGTGTCATATACTCGTGATGAAATTCGTACAAACATGTCTTGGATATGTCGAGGATGCACATACCCACGTAAATCGGCTTGTAGAATTTCACCTCGAGTTTACGCAATTCCACAGCGATTAAGTTTTCCGAAAAAACGCTTCTGCTGTGGAAATTTGGTTTCGCGATCATCGCCTCTGCGCCGTACCGACCGTCCCACTTTGTTAATAATTTTACATCGACACGATTGCGTACATTTTCCATCGTTTTACCAAACACCGCATTATTCATTAATTTATATAAATTTTTTTCGAAATCATTTTTAGCCAATGTTCTGAAATGTGTATTTAATTCTATATAATTTTGAAGCCAGGGAGATTGAGAAAACTGTAAAATTCGATGTATTTTTGTTACACGAAGGCCGTGCCGCGTGCACTGCTGCAGGTTGCGGTAGTGTATCACGTAACGCTTCTTATCGTATAACGTTGCAAGCAGCTTGAATTCCCGCTTGCCAGGTGGTTTGTCGCGTGTCGGGCAAAACGGTAGGTCAGTGTGCGCATGGTGAAGATGTTGCGGGTACTCGAGGTCCACTTCGAGGATATAGCCCGTAGACGAATCTAATGCGATGGATGATACGTCAAAATTTGACACATCGTCGGCCCATCGAAAATCAGCATATGGCAGCGGTTGACACATTGCCCATCCGTACAAATTATTTACATCAAAGTACATCAAGTATGATGATGGTTTCGATGGATCGTACGACTCCATGTACTTGTTATTAGCGCGAGCGTATCTACCCGAACATTGGCTCAGACCACCGCGTATACCACGTTCGATAAACATAACCATGTCGATGTCTGTAAGCAACTCGAACGTGATCTTTGTATGCTTCAACATGGCGTCCCACGTGTATCCGGGGAGAGTATAATAATACGCAGGGTCGAGTCCGTAACTTTCGATACATTTATCTCGAAAGTTTTCGAAAATGTCGGCTAATAACAAGACATCAATTTTTAGGTACAAGTCGCTATATTCGCCTAGCGTCCGAATGGAGAATCGTGTCCAGACGTTCTCGGCGTGCGCGTAATCGCTCTCGGATACAGTTTCACCGATCAAGGAACTGTAAAATGATTCGCGCGATGGTAAACACGTATCATGCAACCTGTCGACGGAATCGATGTATTCGTACGGAAATACACCTTTTCGCGTTAACAAATTGAAATTTTCTGTTGATAAATTTTGAAATTCCGATTTTAAAATTTTAAGCTTATCTTTGTCCAAAAATGATGCCAATTTATCAAGACTCGATGTGAGAAATTTGTATGAATCGATGAAACGTAATTTTATTTGATTTTTTGATTCTTCTTCTTCTTTAAGATCAACAATTTTGGTAAACGAAATATATTTTTCCTTGGTTATCGGTAATAACTCGATTTTCCCTTCGAACGCTGTGGCTATTTCCTCGATGATAAAATGAGAATCGTAACCGGATAAATTGTGAAACACTATCGGAATGCAAAAAGAATCTTTATAATTTAGATTACAATTTGAATGCGCGGGACCTCTGTATCGCCCGGTCAGATGGCAATGATCGCGAACGCGTGTATCGTCTTGCGCGAACGGCTTTTCGCATATATGACAACGAGTGGCGCTATGGAATTTCTCCCACTCTTCGAACGTTAAATTTACCATGGGGACATTTGTTTTTAAAATATTCTTAACGCGAATTGCTAAATTTTTAAGGTCTTCGGCGAACCATGCTAAACAATCGGCGCTACGACGCGAATGATACGTTGATAATGAGTCGTCGTACGAACAATGTACATAATAAGCTAAACTAAATACTTGATGATGTTGATATAATTTTTCTTCTTCCTTCTTGGCTAGAACGCATTCCAAGTCGGCGTAGACCACGAATGGAAGCCGCTCCTTCCGATTAGGGTTGCTGAACTCGAGCCACTTGTCCTTGTCGCTCGGCAACCGGACAGCGCAGTCGTTTAGCTTTCCGCAGTCGACCGTATGCGACTGCAACTTGGTGTCTGAATAAAAATAATGAAGGCATCTGTAAAAGAAAAAAATTTTTTTATCATAAGATTTTTTATATAAATTATAATTTTCAAATAATATAAAATAAACTTACCGATCACAGATATATCTTTGGCCATTGTGTTTGCTCAATTGCGAGCTCACGAGCCGGGATAAATTCTTGATCCAAGCGAAATGTCCCACGCTGTTGCCGTCTTCAGTATACAGCAGATTCACATGCTTGTCCCGCTTCTGCTGCGAAAGACGTATCGGGACAATGTTTTTGTCTTCGATGTCGTACACATTGATTGAAATGTCATTTGCAAGTTCAAATTTCTTAATTTGATTAACAGTCACTGGAAACTCAATGTCCCGGAGATTCAGCACTGTCGCGTAATGCGGGTACGATGATTCCCGTTCCGCGTTCCTTTCAGCGGGATACAGAGCGGCGACCACTGCCCACGCGAAACACGCATTGTCCTTTGATTGCACGTTAACCACCGCTCTCTTCATCATAATCTCCCGCGGCAATTTAATGTGACATCCCGCGCGCATTGGATTGTACTTGTTTATATTTACAGTCAAGTTCAGTATTCGCGACAATGCCCACCCGCTATCGCGTTCCTGAAACTCTTCCAGAGACGCTAGGGTGGACTCGATAACGCGCCGTTCGTACCACTCGCGTAAATCAGATGTGCGAAAGAGTTCATAGTTTCTCGTATTCACACTTTTATTCGCGTGTTTATCACCCGACACAAATTCGCCGTTGAATATAGTGTTCACTTTTACACTGTTGTGTTTTTTTAAAGCGTCCTGCACATGTTCCAACACAATGTCTTTAGCGTCATCGAGAAATTGGTGTGGTTCGATGTGATTATAGTTTATCACCGCACCAGTCGATACGCGACTTTCGAACGCCGTATCAATTTCACGCCACACAAGTGCATTTTGATGCGCACTACATCCGGCACCCGCGTGTACGAAACGTCTCCGTACCGAATTTTTCAAACCTTCGAGGCGCGCGATTCGAGCAATCAGTGATTGTCGATTTCCGATCGATAATCGCGGTCGTTTGATTCGACTTTGCTCTTCCAGCGACTCGATGTACTCGTCGCATCGTTGCTCCCACACAATGTAGTTTTCCAATGAATCAAGCAAAGCGGATTGTTCTCGCAAAATTTGCTCCTCCATATTGCTAACGTACACTTGCAAAATTTAGCGTTTCTAATGACAGGTCTGATGCACTTTAGCTACTGGTGGGGTGCGTCTCTCTATCATGATTTATATACCGTCTCATGCATTGTTTTATCATCGAATATTCTAGAACGATTTCATCTTACAAAAAATTCCCCGTAGTACCGTGTGCAATTTGGCCTTGATAATTTCACGTTTTGTCACGTACATTTGAAAAATCTAACATGATTGCATCAGGGGCAACCGTACATCGGCCCTTGATTTTAGCGCTTTCAGCTAAATCTTTGTCTGGGGATGATGCATGTTTTAACCTTGGTGGTTATTTTTTCGCTATTTGTCACGTACATTTGAATAATTTTGATGCGATTGCATCAGGCGCAGCCGTACATCGGCGCTCGATTTTAGCAAATTCAGCTAAATCTTTGTCTAGGGATGATGCACATTTTAACCTTGGCAATTATTTTTTCACTATTTGTCACGTACATTTGAAAATTTTAACGCGACTGCATCAGGCGCAGCCGTACATCGGCGCTCGATTTTAGCGCTTTCAGCTAAATCTTTGTCTAGGGATGATGCACATTTTAACCTTGAAAATTTCCCGTTTTGTCACGTACATTTGAATAATTTTGACGTGATTGCATCAGGCGCAGCCGTACATCGGCGCTCGATTTTAGCAATTTCAGCTAAATCTTTGTTCCGAAGATGATGATGTCATCGCAGCCATACATCGGCGCGACAAAATTTTGGAGGAAATTAAAATGTTGCGTCAGCAATAATCCCCTCTACATCGCAATTTGGGATACTATTTGAATTGATATTGATTCTAATACGATTGCAGTATTGCATCAATCGCGTGTGTGAAAGGTTCACCGCTGAAGAAATATGAATTTCTACGTTCCGATTCGAAACGGCGAAACTCCACCGTGTAAGAAGCAGAAATGCGACACGTAAGTTTAAATCGTTTAAAAAATTTGTTACTTATTGATTTTTAATATTGTTGTCTAATTATTTATATTTTTATAGTATTCAGCCTCGTCGTGCGGCTCGCATACTTGGAAGAAGGTACGCTCTAACCCCGACGTCGTACAAGTATTTGGACATTGGAATAAGCGTTGGAGCTGTATCGTACGTGGAGCTGATTCTCG